AATCATCTTGTCGGGGTTTCTAATGGAGTGCGATTGGTTGGATTCACTTGAAGTTGAAAAAGTTTAGACCAGGGCAACAATAGCGTCTAGTTCAGTTTTTTTGCTTACATAACTCTGGGATCGCCTCGGTCGTGGTTAAAAGGTGTCTTCTTTTACCCTTGGGATATATCCGGGGTATAGTGTGCATAATTTTGAATGCATCTAATTTGTTCACAAAATGACCACTATCGACGAGATGACCGAGAACCGAGCTGCATCTACTTGTTTCCTTGTAGAAAGCGCAAGACAGTGCTGAGCAATATGTTTTAATAATCGCCTGGTCGTATGTCCAACGTATCGCACACTGCGCGTGCACGTGAAAAGACATAAAACGAAGGATTTGGAGTAAAGAGGCAACTCATCTTTTATTTGCTGGGACAAAAAGAGACGAGTGTTAATGAGGATGAGCTGAAGGAGACGTTCTACCGATCACTTTGAGCAAACGGTCTAGTTATAGGGGATTGAGCTTAAATTTAAGTCTGTGCTATCAGGTGACCTTAAGGCGTATGAGATTTGGTTAACAGCCTGTTTGGGTTGCAAATCAGGTAGCAACCTTGGCACTGATGACCCGGTGATAAGGGTTATCAAATTATCACCCTGGAAGACGTTCCACCATCACCACTTAACTTTCCTCATTATATGTTGGATGATAGCTCTTTGATTATTCACTTCTTCCTTCCTAGAAAATGTATTATTTTATATCCAGTACAAGGAGGTAAAACTGAAAATTAATGTCATTGTCCAGATCGACATATGGACACTCTGTCCTTATGTTATAAACTACTATCCAAATTGTGAGTGATATCTTTGGTTCACCAAAATGGCAACCGGTGGATTTTCATGGAATCTCAGAGTGGATTAAAGAATTTGTTGTTGTGACTGAAAAAGAGTCAAAGAGACTGTTGAGCTGTTTGATCACCAATGAAGAGCCCTTCACGAAACTAATGATCAATGCGTAGGACCTATCGCCAGAAAATATCAAAAATTCCTGGTACATTCACGGTCTACCCTCGTCGTTCTAAAGGGATTCTCACCCTTGAGAGTACTTCCGAATAGTATTCAATTCCTCAAAAGCAACATTTTGATCTGTTCTATATCGATTTTACCATTTAAACTTGCCAAATACAAATTTCTTTAGTAAGCAGGCCTATCTATAGTCACATATTCAAATATGAACTGAAAACATGACCGTCCTGTGCTCAATACAGATGGCAGACCGACCTTTTACGACAGATATCAAACGGTTGATTTATGTAACTCTTCGTGATCACTATAGGCTATCCAAAGGCTTCACAGAGGGCCACTGTCTACAAAGTAAACAAAAATTGTAAATAGAAATGGGTTATTCCTGATCAAGTACCTATGGGAGATAAACAATGCATTATTTTTGTTTGTTTTTGGCACACAGTTTCTCTGTATCATGTCAGAGACTGCAAGCAGTCGCCGTTGTAGGCTAGGGAAAATCACATAGAGGTCAACAGATGACTTGGAGAAGTGGTATGACAGAACATGCGGTGAGAATAGGTCGAAACTGGATACCTCTCGTTTTTCGGGACCGGGTTCAAAATGACCCCGTAACTGGTAGGATAATAGCGCTGGAAGAAACCAAGAAGAATAGTCTTACGATAAGGTTAGGTTGCTTGGAATTCGATATGTATACAGTTAGATAGTGTTGAACCACTTTCTTCTCATCTATCTCACACAGCCTCACCTTCCAGGCATCTTATGTGCGTTGTACACATATCACTTCCGATCGTTTCTGTCAGCGTAATTTACTTTATTGTTTTCCACTGTGCGGTGATCATTTTGTGCGGTAAACAAATTCATAATGTGTTTTGTGCTTCAGATAATTTGCCTGGTAGTGATCTAATGATATGGGCCATGATCAACGTGTCTCGAAGTCGTGTGTATGTGTCAAATTGACAAATGCTCCACTTCTTTGTGAATCGTGGCAGGCAGTTTCTGAGTATTTCTGCACAACTTGGTCTGAATACATTGAGGATAATATATATGCAATTGCAGTAACGGATTGCCTACAAAGACTCGTGTGTGTTTGTAAATTTGCTGACAGGATTGAGCTCACTGAGTCTGTTGTAGGCTAGAGGGTGTTGGAAAATCATATTAGGTTCAGTAGACCGCGAGACACTTCGATTTTATACTGGCTGTCATTGATTCAAGTCAAGTCAAGAAGTGACTTTAATTTGCTCCACAGGGGACTAACATTCAGCTACTAGACAATCACTTTTCTGTAGTGGTAAAAGGCATGGTAAGAACAAAAAGGATGATGATACGTGGGATATATAAATAAATAATGGAAACCTAGTAAAGTGTGTGTTTAAGGGTCTCAATAACAAGATCGGCGTTTGTAAGAAACTGTGCCAAGTACAGTGTTACAAAAGACTTGTATTTTATGGTACTTGCTGCTGTATGCTGATACTTGAAGCGAGTAGTCTTGTATTACTTTGGTAGAAAGTTTCTGGCAAGCCTTAAAGTGCTGTGAAATAATAAACTGCACAACATGTTCGCGAGATATACCACGTATGAGTTTGAAGTCTTTGATCAAAGGACCTGGAAGAATAACTGGGGATGCATAAAGCCAGCGGAAGGATACAAGAGAAGACAAAACATTTTATTGAGGGAGTCTGGGTAGATAGCGTTTTAAAACGAATAATTAAAAACATGAGTTTCCTGACTTTCTGAAATGTCTACAAGACATGCGAAAACCAAAAGAGATTACGGAAAATGGTGACTTTGAGATATTTGATGGAGCACATTCCTGAAACTTGTTCTCCATTGATAATGGCACGGTGGCTATAGTTCATCACATCAATGTATTGGTCACCCTTCAGCAAAGAAAATAAGACGTCATTATACTTAAAAGGATTTATTCTAAAATTGTGTTGTGAAGACCAGTCGGTGAGCAGTGAAATGATCTGCATAAGTTTGGAGTTCACGGAGGAATTCGAAAACGTCATGCCATGTAATACATCATCGGTATACTTAATGAGCAAACAACCATAAAAAGCAGGCATGGAAAAAAAATAGGTTGTGAACAGGAAGGGAAAGAATAGCACATTGAAGAACTCCTTGAGTGGAGGGTCAAAGTAAAGAGTCGCAACCCTTATAATTAGTAAACCGTAACGGATGGGTGAAATAATTATGCAGCAGATTGATTAGCTCCGACTGAATACCCTTTTCAGAGAGAGTACAAAGATGTTTGTGCCTATCAACGCAATCGAAGGCGTCACTATAATCAAAGAAACACAGCCGAACAAATTTATATTTTCTGTCCAAGGAAGAAAAAACATACTGGATGAGGGATGCCAATGCATAGGTGGTCGACCTCGAACTGCGATAGGCAAACTGAGTGCGATCAGGTGCATTCAGCTGTGGTAATATCTTCTGTAGTAAAATCTTTTCCGCGATTTTCGAAACCAACAGACGTGAAAGCAATCGGGCAAAATTGGATGTTCCCCTTTTTGGGGAATTGGCGTAATAGAAGCCACTGTCCAACAGTCCTGAATACAACGTTTTGTAAATACACAGATTAAGCAGGTCGATGAAAACAGGGGATGGGGAAGGGAAACTGCACATTCTTTGGATAAAATGAGTAACTGAAAAATTCTCTTTTTGTCTTTTCATGTGCAAAGACGAAACAAAACTTATTCAGAGGGAGATCCGAATGTATTTTCCGATCGCACTGGTGATTTGTGAAGAAGAAAAAGAAGAAGGACAAAAAGAATACAGTATTGGATATGACTTCTTTGATAGACATCTGATTCGGGTCAAGCGTCAACCGGGATTACGACTGCTCCGACCTGGCGTATCTGAAGTAAGTTCAACTTGATTGTTTCAATTGCGTAGAAGATAGAATGGATGGATGGGTGTAGGGAGAAATTCCATGAATGAATTATGTTGCCTCGATTTCGGTCCAAATGTGAGAAAAACCTAGAGTTCGAGAAGGGCGATTCATGCTAAAAAAAGAACACGCCAAGAACCAGATTTAGAAACATTCAAGATTTCGATGTGAATACGGTTCCGGCTCAGTCGATATATTGCTCGCGGTACGAAATAAAGTGCCGTATCTGCTGGATATGGGTGCAAATCTCACCGTTGCCGTTGAACTTTCTACAAATAAACTCCCAATATAGAGAATAATGAAATTTTACAAGTCACATTTTGTGAGGAAAAGTATGTTTCTGAATCAGCTTTAATTCATTGCATCAAAGATATGCGTTTTCAGTCACTTTGGATTGTAAAAACCAATGGATAACCTGGCTGTTTCCTGCGCTGGTCATGGTTTCTATCCTTCACCTACTATTTGTCTGTTTAATCTATAAAGGAAGAAGTAAAGATATATGAACATTATCAATTTAAGCATAAAGGTTGCTTGTGAAATAAATGTCTGTCGAAAGAATCTATCCTTAACTATTCAATAGACCGATCGCGAGGTTCCAAACCGGAAACCTAAAGTCATTTAAACGGTTGACAGTTGGATCAAGTGTTTAAAACCTTAAAGTATCTTGAGTGAAATGGTCATTTATGGCAGACTGAACAGGATCGGGATGTTCCGTCTCTCCGATTGCTTTTTTGATAATGAATAATAAATAGAAGAAGTCGGTATACTCGTGAAATCCGGTATCTGTGATACATACAGTCAATAACCAATCAGAGCACAGTTCACTATCGATCTACTCATTGTGTAAAGTAGTTTACTCACATGAGATTTTTTGAGAACCTTAGAACATTCCTGACCTATTGAGGAGGAATACAACTGCTTATAATCACAGAGCTCAAGTGCTTCCAAGTATGTCCGTGTAGCGGTATTTTATGAACAAGATTAAAAAGGTGAACAATTTTCACCAAAAAAGAGACATTAATTATTTTTTTTTACTCAAAGGTTTTTAAGGCTCCCTCTGGGAAGAGTTCGTTTACGGTGGATTGCTTTCACCTCAACAAACCGAAACAGTTCGTGTCCGTGGTAGTTCGAAACGGTACGTTCCAATCCATTTTGTTTAACAGTTTGATTGTTTTACTCTGTACTAAATTGTTGAATCTAATACAGCCTCATGTGGTGAATCGTTGCAAATCTCAGAGAATTTCTTTCGGTTCTGGTTGTGTATTGCAACACTACTATCACTACTACTACTACTACTACTACTACTACTACTACTACTACTACCACAAGGCGGTGCTGGTTGGGGACAGTCATTTATTAAGGATTACAGACGGGAGGTCAGTAAATGAGCATGCATAACACAAGAATCTAATCAGAAACGTGTCATTACCATTCTTTTCGACACACAGGGTTATGTATGAAGCAGTCGGTAGTTATCTTCGCAAACACATCACTTGGCCGTTGATGGTCTTGCTATATTTTTATCATCTAAAGTTACCTACTACTCACAAGTGAGTAGTGTCTCACAACACTACTACTGCTACTTTTACTACTACCACTATTACTACTACTGCTGTTATAATTCCAGAAGGCTCTGCTCGGTGGAGGATAGTTGTTTATTGCAGATTACAGCTGGGGTATCAATAATTTGGCATATATGTAACAGATTTCTCATTTGAAACATGCCATTACAATTCCCGCAGCACACCGGGTAATGAATGAATGAAGCAGTCCGTAGTTAATCTTTGAGGCACCCCATTTCGCCCTCAGTAGTCTTGTTAATTTTTGATTATTGAGGGAAACCACCATTCGCACTATGTTGCATACTACTCACAAATGTGGGTAGTATTTCACAGCACTACTACTACTCGGTTGTGAAAATGCACTAACACCCGATGAAAGGGAACTCGAAAAGGTATTCCGTTGGTCTGGACGAAAGAAAAGACTCCGTGTTATGTTACTTCTTTTCACCATTTGATTAGACAATCGAGCGAGTGAAAACGAAATAATGGTGTTCTTCAATTTTGGAGCAGAACTCCAGTTCGATGCCTTTTCGACGGTATGGAGTTGAAAAGATAATCGAAAGATAAGGTGTGACGAGGTTAAAATTATCAAAATGATGAAAAAACCTACCAATTTTTGTTAGTTTTGTGTCAATTTACAGTGATCGGGTATTTTTGCTTGATGAACACATACGAACCAATTATTTCTCAAGTTTGTTCTGGAAAAATATTACTGAGAAACGGCAATGTAACGGCTACTGATGATCAGGATGGATAAAATAAATGTTAAATAAATAATAATTTGTTAATTGTTTACTTATGTGGTACCAGTTCAAATTGAGTCCGCAATCTTCTCTGTCAAAATGCGGTACTAGAGTCCAATGATGTTTAACTTCACAGCGCCTCTTCCGGTTAGTGGACACGTGGTCAACACAGTACTGCAGTTGGAACCGGGTGATGCGTTGCTATGCGATCCAACGGCGAAAAGTGATAATAAACCTTCAACGGACGCTCCGCTACATTTGATTGTCGAGAATGATCAAACGTATCGGTACACGTTTGATCAGCAACACGCTATGCGATGGATTGTGAAAGATTTTCCACGAGGTGGTTCTTGGATTATTCACTGCAAATTCGGTTCTGATGTGATTCACACGTACAATGTGACTGTGATCGGTAAGTGGTCAGAGGATTTCCGCCGAAAATAAAGAAATAAATTTTTTATCGAATTGGCTGGTATTTTCAATGTATTGAGTTCGCTGGTTTCCATGTTTGATAGTTTAGGTGGTATAGTGGATACATGTGTTATACCAACTGGGCTATTAATGTAGGTGTGTGTATATGTATTCGGATATTATGTTCAAAGATCGGTCCAGATACCGAATCTCTAGTTGAAATGTTTGTACCTTTGGTAAAATAAGTGCGTGTGCCTAGATATTGTGATATGACAAATCCGTTTGAAACTGGTTACGCGAATCCATGTTGAGCACAATGAGGATATCGAACTCCGAGGTAGGAAATACGATTTGTGGGCCCTGTAATTTGCTTTCATAATATTTAATTAAATGGTCGATGCTTCTCGGTGCTTCTTGAATGGCGGAATGCACTCATTAAGAAACCCTGATGGATCCGACTATCCTCTATTCTTATAGGCATTTCAGATCGTTCATATTGCCTAAAATATTATAAAGCTACCGTTATTGCACTCATCCCTTCATCCATCCATCCAATTATCTATCAGTCTATTGATGTAAGTACTTCTTTCTTGCTCCGTTTTCCTGTATGCACCTTTTTTTTTATCCAGCTTGAAACGAAACAAGTAACTCTTGGGCATTTACCGTCATGTATCGTGTCAAATGCTGCAGGGTCCATCGATCGATTGCTCGATCCATCCATGCATCCATTCACAGTTACGATGTGAATATGTTCGATAAGTGGTCAGTGGATAATTTGAACTCAATTCGAATGCTATTTGTTCACCTTGTATTTATTAGTGAGAGACACTTTGTTTTCGTACAGTCTTCCTACAAAAGTAGTGTATCATACAGTTTGTGCAGACAAGTAATTCAAATATTGCGACTGTTCCCTTCAAATCGAAACCTCCATCGTATGAAAACACAAGCGACCAGACGGATAAATCAAAAAAGCTATCTTCCGAAATAACACGTGATCTGAATAATGTCCGCATTTCACAAGCGTCTTCTCCGTGCGGTACAAAATTGGTCTCGTTCGCACGCTATTTCCTCGAGTGCGTGAAATGAGCACAGAGGTCTCTTTAAGCGACGAAATTGGTCTCTTGAAAGTAGTTGTGTACATAAATGGATAGCCATTTGCATTCCTCGTCAAACAATGTAAAAGAAATACCAAAAGTAGAAAAATTAATAAGTGCTCCAAAAATGAAAGTTTTTTTGAAATTTGAGGGAGATGACGTGAATGAATTAGTCAACAAGCGGCTAAACTCTGTTTTCAAGGTAGTCTTTAACGCATTTGACCCGGTTATTGTTTTCACTACCACCCGGATACCAACAACATTGGTGAAAGAACCGTCGCCTCCTCAACCAAATCAAACTGTATTTACCAATTCATGTGTGGATGCTCAACCATCTACATAGGCAGGACGGAGAGGCAGTTACGTCACTGAATGGCTGAACACATCGCGATGCGGCTTAAGAAAGTAACGGACGACAAGTTTAAAACTGTTACATCATCGACTGGGTAGAAAAGAACTGGATCTTCGATATCACAACAAACACTTTAGAGTATCAAGTTTGAGCACAAAAGAACACAGTTCTGACCAGTCCCAAACAGGACAAAACAGCTGTCTAGTGCTCTTTGTCGGTTATCACAAACAGTTCCATCCCCTCTGAATAACAAACACTTGATCGAACAAAATTATTGTCACTCCAATCCACGTATTTCAGGTCATCGGCTACGCAACAAACATGAATTTACTGAAATTTACCGAGGTTCTGACCATTCATACTCTCAAACCGGATTTATGGAAACAACGTGAATGGCTTTGGGTGATTAATCCCTATCTTATCCCGTTCTTTGTTTTAGGGTGTCGTGTTGTCCGTTTTGATTAGCGATCTCATCTCACTGACTATATAAAAATAACTTTGACTGCAGTATGCCGTACCTGTACAGATGCAGCAAAATGGCCATGGGGATACATTGTTCAGACCCATGCTTCTGACATCTGTATTCAAAAACGCAAGCATCACGGCGTACTGGCTCCCGTATAAAACCGACAGAATTTCATAACATTGGTTGATATTGTCCACTTATTCCTATCGCAGTGAATTCCCCCCAATAGTATATTTTTTTAACTGCATTCAAATGGGAACGACATCGCTGTACGTTTGTCAGATGCAATCTGGAAAATTTACCATGTCGTAATTTTGAAGCCTGCCTGCACACGCAATCACGGTCTTTTTGTTTTCTTATCCCATCCCATATGCTTGAACAACCCAATCACGGTCAGGTTATCCGATGCGTGCAAAAATCTATCCGTTCCTCCCGGAACGGCTAGATCCATCTGATGATACAAAGTTTTATTGTTCCGCGGACAATCCGACCTATTTGCATCCGACCTCTGTACACATCATTCACCTTTCCGGGCCCAGTGTATTTCATATTCACGAGAACACATTTCAGCTAGCCCAAAAACTTCCCAGCACGCATCTCAAACAGATCAGTCACTATCGTTGCGAACTGATCACACGCACTTTTCGTGCGGTCAAAAATTTCTCGGTGATTGTGGGTAGGTTGTGTACGTGTGTGTGTCATTTTCAAACTAACCGACAATACATAGTGATGTGCATATTAAATGAATTGAGCTTCGGTTATTGTCTAAAAGATTCTATATCCACGCTCATCAAATTTCTCTAATCAACAACATGGAGGCGTAGTTTTGGCAAATATTCTGTTCAAAGCAGTTCATTAGTGAACCAAAGCAGGGTTGAATGCTACCGTCCGCGACAAATTTCGCTGAATACCATTTATGAAATATTGTGTAATAAGTGGTATGTTTAGTATACATCCGGAGTTCATGTATATGGATGATTGGATGAAAGATTACCGGATATGCATACCTAACGAGCGGCAACCGCTGCGAAACCGGTCGTGTGCTTCCAGGGGAATTCTGTCCATTCATTCACATTCTACTTATTATAACATTATATTTTTACAATGCGATTGTTCCATCGTTTACCATCGTCTCGTCCCTCTCACCCGTGACCTTAAACAAGTAAATTCCCCCTGACCCCTAATGCGATCTGATTGGATCATATTCCGCGATCTGCGTCGCTCAAAGTCCCTCACCCTAACACGAGACTGTCTGATTACCGGCTGGTACTCATACGTTTTATAATGCTCTTTTTGTCACGTCCAGTCTATCCGAGTGCTGATGGCACTCTAGGTACACAGTCGAAGTTCACTAGGCCTGCCTGAGACTCACAGCTGTAAAAAAAAAAGGTGTAGTTTCTCGCTCGGATTAGGTGGACAGGCACCAGATTTCTTTTTGCAGCTGAACCATTCGACCGATCGATAAATGAATCTGATCGGTCGTGTGATTTTCGGGCTGGCACAGGCAGAAGATAGGTCCGTTCTGAAGACTGCATACATTACTGATTAAAAAACCGCAATTGTTTTGTTTGTTGCATTGTTCTAATATATACCCTCCTCCCTCTGACCGGAAATAAAACGTCTTTCGTATCATCATTATTGGTATTGAGAATAGTACAAAAAACACCGATTACCTTTTGCGTGATCTTTATGATAGTTTTTTTTTTAGTGTTTCGTCAATCTTATGTAGAACCAAAAACTAATGAAGAATTCACTTCAGTTTGCAATTAAAATGTGCTTCCAGATTTGAAAGAGCAACTAATCCCCTCGGGAACGAAAAATCTGGAACAATCCTCGACGAAAGACTAGCTGAATCAGACTGCTTCGGTGAACTGTCATTACTTCTGTTCACGACAAGCTGATAATTCTGTTTATCATTTTTGGTGATGTCTCTCTACTAAGTTGACAGTGACCGGAACGATGATGAGGAATATGTTATTTTTATCGGCAAATCTTGTAAAATTTCAATCGTTATTAGTGCAGCTAGTTAGCTGATGATAGATGAGTTGTTTTCAGCGTTTCATGAATACTCGGCAATGCTGAAGCTCCCCTGGGCTCCCGATCCACCTCGTCCCCACACACATTCCATATCCCGAGTGGTCCCAACGATCGGATAACCTAATAATTATGTGATCATTGAGAATCTCATATCCGGTCCGAGGACGAAATAAGACCTCAAATAAACTATAATGTTAATTTTCCCTTTCGCAACACAATTGTGTGGATTTTATAGTTCAATAATGAAACACATGCAAACGGTGTGATATTTATTGCGATGTATTGGTAACTGTATTCATCTAGTTTTATTCTGATTCATTTTTACTGCATTCGATTTGTTCCTTATCTAGAAACCCCGTCAATTCAGATTAACCCAATGATTTATATGCTTTGGCGTTCTGTCCGATCGTACAATTTTTCTTGCACGTTCCGTGATCCCAACGAGGCCGGTCTTCTCCAGCTGACATTTGAATTGATTCAAGGGATGAATGAGGACTCGGGCAACATTTGTCGTTATCCGACGCGTCAAAGTGTATCATCTAACCTGGTTCCTGTCTCACTAACTGCAAATTTGGATGTGGAAATACATGATGGTCCGATTTTGGTAGGGACCAGTCAGGACAGTACGGACAATGCGAATAACCCCGAATCCGATCGTGAAGACTTCCCCGGGAGTATCGAGACAAAAAAAAGACAAAAAAATCAGCCGAGGATTGCTTCCGCAAAATCGGAGAAAGAAGGACCGAATAATAATACAACTGTTGGTTCTGATTATATGTATGCTGCCCGATCGGATTTTGTAAAAAGTCAGCTACCTCAAATTACCGAAATCTTACCGAATAAATATGGGAATCTATCGACCGAAGATGAGATGCTCAATATCACTGACCGTTCTGCAGTAGATCCCAGTTTTATATCCTCAACAATATTGGTTCGTCCGAAACAATTTAAATCCGGTTTGCTTCGATGTCGAACAATAGACAGAGAGCCACCCATGGAACGTACAATGCGAATCGATACTGCAGGTAAGGTTCTCTGTCCCCATTGTTTGAATAGAACAGTTTGATTTTGCCTGAACTCTTGAACACTTGAACGACATACGGTCCCTCAAGTTGTGCGCTCCCAGTTTAATCGAAATATTTCTGCGAAATCTCGTCGTA